GTATTTCAGACCAAACTAGAGGAGAATCCTAGTAGGTCAGTCATGGCCACATCGGAGTCAGCACAGGTGATGCAGAGGATAAAATTGCTGCCTAATGACATCAAGCTTGAGGGGACAAGAAACTATCTGAGTTGGTCTCGGAGGGCACTGTTGAATCTTCGAATCAAAGGACTTGAAAAATATGTGAATGGGGAGTGCACTGAGCCGGAGAATAAGACGAGTGTTGAGTGGAACACATGGAGTAACACTAATTCTCTTGTGGTTTCTTGGTTGTTGACTTCTGTGTCTCCAACCATAGCGGGGATGGTGGAGTCTATCTCAAGTGCTGCTGATGTCTGGAAGACATTGGAGGGGATGTACTCTGGAGCTGGAAGTGTGATGATGATGATGGAAGTGGAGGAGAAGATTGATGCTACCACACAAGGGGAGAAGACAGTCCACCAGTATGCAGCAGAGCTACGTCACTTATGGGCGGATCTGGATCACTATGATCCTTTATCACTACAAAACCCGGCAGATGTTCTTTTGGGGAGACAGTATCTTGAGCGCAGGCGTGTGGCTCGTTTTCTCAAGGGTCTAAACTCAAAGTTTGAGGGAAGGAGGGCAGCAATGTGTCATCTGTCATCTCTCCCCTCCTTGGATGAGGCTATTGCATCGATGGAACAAGAGGAGATCAGACAGAAGGTGATGACAGGCGAGGCCTCACCTGCTGTCCGCTCGGCATTGGTGGTTCCAGATGTTCACATCAGAGATGATAGAGAGTGCTACAATTGTGGAAAGAAAGGGCATGTCAGCTACAATTGCCCTCAACCCCGCAATACTGGTGGTAGCCGAGGAGGCAGAGGACAGAGAGGAGGCCGTGCAGGTCGAGGAGGCAGGGGACGTGGAGGCCGAGGAGTTGCTCACCTAGCTGTGGCAGAGGAGTCCCAGACTACTGCTGGGATGACTGGAGCTGAAATAGCAGAGCTGGAGGAACTACGCCAGTTCAAGCTTCAGGCTGAGAGTTCGAAGGGACAAGTCACTCAGAATCTGGATCACACTACATACTTTGGTAACTTTGTTGGTTATGCACATCCGAACAAAGGTACACGGGTTCAGGCACTTGCATCCACTAAAACTCATGTTGATTGGATCATAGACTCAGGTGCATCTAGGCATGTCACAGGAGCATCTAGTGAGTTTGCATTATATTATCCGAGTAAGCATATGCATCCTGAGACAGTCCAAACTGCTGATGGGACATCCCAACCTATCAGGGGTACTGGTTCGGTCCATTGCACTTCATCTGTTATCTTATCATCTGTATTGCATGTCCCTTCATTTCCAGTTAACTTACTCTCTGTTAGCTCTCTCATTGATCAATTAAATTGCACTGTGTTATTTGATCGAGATTTGTGTGTCTTCCAGGAGAAGGAAACGGGGAGGAGGATTGGGACTGGCATCAGGCGTGATGGTCTTTGGTACTTAGACAGAGAGACTGCAATGATTGCTGCTGCTGTTAGCGGAGGGCCAGAGGCAGAAGCAATGCTTCAACATTGCCGATTAGGGCATTTATCTTTTGATAGTTTGGAAAGGTTAGAACCTGAGATAATGAAGAAAGTGGATAGAAAAGAGTTATTTTGTGATGCTTGTGAACTTGAAAAACATACTCATTCTACTTATAAAATGATTGGTCTTCGAAGTCTTGAACCATTTGCACTTGTCCATTCCGATGTTTGGGGACCATGTCCTACTACCTCTATTAGTGGTTTTAGATGGTTTGTTACTTTCATTGATTGTTATTCACGTATGGTCTGGATATACATGATGAAGCAGAAATCTGAGGTTTACAAATGTTTTCAAGATTTCTCGGCTTATGTGAAAACACAGTTTGGAGTGCAGGTAAAGATTCTTCGAACAGATAATGGGACTGAGTATGTCAACAAGGAGTTTGCCGCTTTCGTCTCTAGTCAGGGAATTCTTCATCAAACCACCTGTCCAGACACCCCTGCTCAGAATGGGGTGGCTGAACGTAAGAACAGACATTTACTGGAAGTGGCACGCTCATTGATGTTGACAATGAATGTGCCTAAGTTTTTATGGAGTGAGGCTGTTATGACAGCAGCTTATTTGATCAACAGAATGCCATCAAGAGTATTAGGAATGAAGACACCATGTGAGATGCTCTTGGGCTCGAATGTCTTTGTTGTTCCACCAAGAGTGTTTGGATGCACATGTTATGTGAGAGATCACAGATTGATGGTGAGTAAACTGGATCCGCAAGCAGTTAAATGTATCTTTGTTGGTTACTCATCAAGTCAAAAAGGATACAAGTGTTGGTGTCCCACTGAAAGAAGGTTGTTTGTCAGTATGGATGTGACTTTTCGGGAGTTTGAACCTTTTTATGGGGAGCAGACAGAGTTGAGTTCCTTGTTTGGAGATGGCTCTACCGATGCTAGTAGAGAGGGGGAGAATGAGAATGAGAATGAGAATGAGAATAACATCGTGGTTGGGATGATTCCATGTCCGCTTGAGTCACTGAGTAGTGATGATACATCGCCGAGTAATGGTGACGACTCAGGAGTTGACAGTCAAGGTCAGGGGGAGTTGAGAGTATACACGAGGAGACAGAAACAGCAGCATGAGCCGCCTCTTATGTCTATGCCAGTACCCACAAATGTTGATGTCCCAAGTCCCTCCTCTCCAATGTCTTCCTCATCTTCTCCACCTAAGTCGATAGGTAACGATTCCTTCCCTGATACTTCTAATACTCCTGTCTTGCCTCGCAGAACCTCTAGAGTCAATGCTGGAAAACCTCCAGCTAAGTTTGGTAATTGGGATACTGATATTGCGAATTACATTTCATATATTCATTACATCATTGCATTCAGTGTCTGTACCTAACAACTGGCAGGTAGCTAAGCAAGATCCTAGGTGGTTGAGTGCCATGCAAGAGGAACTTCAGGCCTTAAAGAAGAATGATACATGGGAGCTAGTACCTTTGCCAGCTGGGAAGCGTGCTGTTGGATGTAAATGGGTGTATACGGTTAAGCAAACTCCAGAGGGAAACATCGACAGATACAAGGCCAGATTAGTTGCTAAAGGCTACAACCAAACGTATGGCATTGACTATGATGAGACATTTGCTCCAGTAGCAAAGATGAGCACTGTTAGAGTGTTGGTGTCATGTGCTGCTAACTTCAATTGGCCACTACATCAGCTAGATGTCAAGAATGCTTTTTTGCATGGAAATCTCCAGGAGGAGGTGTATATGGAGATTCCACCAGGCTTCGCTACTTCTCAAGTAGCTGGGAAGGTGTGCAAGTTGAAGAAGTCTTTGTATGGGTTAAAACAGTCTCCGAGGGCATGGTTTGACAGATTCAGGTTGGCAGTCTGTTGTATGGGGTACAAGCAATGCAATGGAGATCATACTGTATTTTATAGGCACTCCAAAACTCGTATCACTATCCTGGCGGTCTATGTTGATGATATTGTAATCACTGGAGATGATGCTGAGGAAATTCTACGGTTGAAGAAGAAATTGGGCGAGGAATTTGAAGTTAAAGATCTGGGGCAGTTGAAGTACTTTCTCGGAATTGAAATTGCAAGGTCGCGAAAGGGTATAGTCCTTTCTCAGCGGAAGTATGCTCTGGATCTTCTCTCAGGGACATGGATGTTGGGGTGTAGAGTTGCATCTACTCCTATCGAGCAGAATCATAAGATGTGTACTGAGGGTGGTGACCCGGTGAGTAAAGAGCAATATCAAAGATTAGTTGGACGACTTATATATCTATGTCATACGAGACCTGATATTACTCATGCAGTGAGTGTGGTGAGTAGATATATGCATGATCCGAGAGAGCAACACATGGAGGCAGTTCGCAGAATTCTTAGGTATATTAAAGGAAGCCCAGGAAAGGGGTTATGGTTCAAGAGTTCTGGACATCTGAGAATTGAAGGCTATTGTGATGCTGATTGGGCAGGTTGTATGGATGATCGTAGGTCCACTACAGGCTACTGTGTATTTGTTGGAGGCAATCTCGTATCTTGGCGTAGCAAAAAACAAGATGTGGTGGCTAGGTCTACAGCTGAGGCCGAGTACAGGGCTATGGCAGTTAGTCTGTGCGAGTTGATGTGGGTCAAAAACATATTATCCGAGCTGTGCCTGTTTAGAAGAGACCCCTTACAACTTTGGTGTGACAACAAATCGGCGATTAATATTGCGAACAATCCAGTCCAGCATGACCGCACCAAACATGTAGAGATTGATCGATTCTTTATCAAGGAGCAACTGAATAGAGGAGTTCTGACTTTGAGCTATGTGAAATCAGAAGAGCAATTAGCTGATTGTTTAACAAAAGGATTAGGTTCTAGAGAGTATGATATCTTTTGTAACAAGATGGGGATGATTGATATCTATCGCCCATCTTGAGGGGGAGTGTTGAGTTAATTAGTTAATGTTGTAAGGACTTTTCTGTAAGAGTGCATTAATATAAAAGTGGTACCTCTCTATGGGAGAAGTAACCCTAATTTCCAACCCAAAATTCTACATGGATTATTATGACTTGCTTGCAATATGTAAAATTATGCTTGTAGATTCTAAGGGATACCTATTTCTTAACACGTACATGTAACTTTAGTTCTTGGCAGATGAAAGGGTGTCTATCAAAAATTTGTCATTCAACTGAATGGATCTGGGAAATATCTGCTATATGTATTAATTTTGACTTGAAGAAATGACTTGATAAAAATTAATGGAAAAATCTGTCATCATGGAAGTATGATATAAGGAGCTGTGGATTGGTGAAGTTGGCATCTGTCACTCTGGGCTGGTCCTGTTAGTTAACTAGTCCAAACTTGCTTATTTGTCAGCTGCTAATAGCATGTTGTGATTTTCATATTTCTTTCCTGTATTATTTGATTTTTCTTTTGATGTTTTACATGAACCAATCTATTCAATTCCTATTCATAAAGAATGTTGCATTCTGTGGATGATATGACACATATTTCTGAGCATCCAGGTACACTACCAGAATTTGGAAGTTCGTGGCTTTGAGATGGAAGCTGAGATTGCTTCTCTAAAAGAAAATTTGACCACTGCTGTTGAAGAAAATGAAAAGGCATATGATAAAAATGGAAACTTAGAGTCAGAAGTCAACACACTGCTTCAAAATTTAAGTGCAGCAGATTCGGAAATAAATTTCTTGAAGGAGGAGATTGTTAAAATGGTATTTAATCCATCTGAAAAGCTTCTTAGTTTATAAAAAGCTTGCGTATGTTTCAAATAGTCAATTCTGTCAGTCTTCATAATCATAATTCGTAGGTGTCTTATATTGTAGGAACAAGAGTTGAATGAATCTGAGGCCTGTTCTAGGAACTTGAAAGTTTCCCTTGATCTGCTAACAAAAGAAAAGGAAGATATGGGAATGGTAACACTTACACACAAATATATCCTTGAAATGCAGCATCTGCCTGTTTTGTGACCAACATTGCTTAGTCGTATTAAATGTGCAGCAACTTGCAGATGCTCTTCTTGAAATGGAGGTTGAAAAGTCAGCATGGTTAAGCAAGGAGAAAGCTCTCAAGGAGTCTGACGAGAGAATGAAGTTATCAGAGGAGATTACCAAGTTATCGAAAGATTTAATAGAGGTATGTTGAAATAAAAATCATGTTAGGGCATCGTGATATCCCTATATGCCTTTTTGATCCAATTTTTTTTGCAACATATGGGAACAAGTTTGTATGGATGGTTAAAGTTGTACAGTGACAAGGTTATGCAAGCAAGTTGCCAAGAGCCTTTTGTCTTCGTGGTCTGATAGATGGATGATTCTAAAATAAGAAAGTGAACCCTTATAGCACCTTGATGCCAAACTCTCTAGATACAGCATTATACTGTTTATACAGTTCCAGTAAAACTGATACCTCTATACAATTTATCCAACAAACCTTCTTAATCGACATATGTAAGTGTTGTGAATTGAATATTTTCCTACACTATTAGTGGAAGCAAAGTCAAAAGAACTATGTAGCACAAGTGCTAGCTAGTAGCTATCAATTCAAATAGCAGCCAATGTAATTTCAGCAATGAATTGTCCAATGCTAATGCAATATATCATTTGCAGAATGAATACAATTTCAGTTCTCTCTGTACACTGCTATTTTCTTATTTATTTGGGATGCAGATTCCTTTTCAACTTGAGAATTTTTCTTTTTGCTCGTAGGCCAAACTGTTACGTCATTGCTTATTAAGCCCAACTTACGTAATTCATACCCGTTAGTTATAGCATCTTTTTACATTTACCTCCATTTACTTGTCCATTTTCCGTTTGTTAACATGAAGTCATGGTAATCGGGTATTTGAAAACATTGTTGAAAGGGGACATTAATACTGATAACATTATTTTCAGGATAAGGGTTTTTTAGGCTACTGGAAATATATATTTTTATGTTTATTTTTCATATTATGATTTGTATATAACAAAAATTTCACTATTAGCTAATTAATTTTAAGTTGCAATCAGTAAACGTATGTACTGAAACGTACTTCGCATGGACAAGAACTTCAAGACATACACACTGTCACGCATCAGCTACTCAAAACTGCACAAGTCATACAGTCTTTTCCATTTAAAGTAGTCCAGTGATGTATGTTTTCTTAGGAATAACAGTTGAAATCATTCTGACGCTGCAGCTGTGAGTAATATATGAAAGGAAATTGTCTTTGATTTTTTGTAACTGTTGTGTGTATAAATTTACTTTTTTATGGTTGAACATAGGTGACACATGAGCTAGAGTCTTCCAGAGAACAATGTAAAGTGCTCAGAGAAAGACAAATTCTCATCGAGGAAAATGCAGAAAAAGGTAAAGAACGCAGGTAAGACTTCTTTACCTTTGCTGTGAATGAACTACTAGCACTTGGAAAACATTAAGACATGACCTCCCATCTCCACTATACTCCTTCCTTGTAGTTTATGAATAGAAAACTACTGTGCTTCCTTTATATGGACTCCTCGTGCAAGGTTTATTAGGAATATTTGTTCCTGATCCATGTGACCTCTTGTCTCATAACTGTCCTTTCACATCTGTGTTTTAGAAGCAAAATTTTCTGACTTTGGTCTGTGAATTTTAGGATTTTATTCACTTCCCTATTCTGTACAAAACAGTCCTAATATATATATACACGTTAGGCAGTATCAATCTGCTTAATCTAAGGAATTTGTTTCCTTCTTAAAGAAGGAAATTAATACCAAATCATCTAAAAATAGGAAACCTAAATATACACCATACTTAATATTAGGATCCCTAGAAAATAGTCACAATATCAATATCTCCAACACTCCCCCTCAAGCTAGGTTGTATATGTTTATCATGCCTAGCTTGCTACACAAACCTTCAAATACAACTCTAGGAATTGGCTTGGTGAGTATGTCTGCATTCTGTAATGATGATGAGATATAGATAGGTTCAACTATCCCTCCTTCTATGTTTTCCTTGATGAAATGCTTGTCAATTTTAATATGTTTGGTTTGGTCTTGCTG